AATATGGAGAGAAGTCTGAATTCTGACAAAGTAAAGATGAAGTCTTGACTTAACTGAAGCCTAAGGAAATACGATTTCACTTTAAATAAGTCTGCCTCTCTCATGTACACAGAATCCCAATGTAAGTGATTTCATCTTTCATAGTTGAAGGTCGGCCATTTCAACGCTGTATTTTTTCCACAGCGAGTCAGTTTCTGCTCTCCTGGCAGATCTGCACAATCAACATCCTACATAAACCACAAAAGCAAGGCAATTTGAAGTTATTGGACGCTTTTATTTTAATGTAGCACCCAGTTCCATATCACATACATTTTCCAAAATTAGATGGGCATAGTGTAGAACACTACACATTTTGCAGCTTACCACGTGGACAGTCTGCAGCTGTGAAAACAAATTGCTTAAATCTGGCAATCTACTTTATAAGTTAAAATTCAAATATATATAATAGCCTCCGGGTACTTTTTTTTAGATTAACAATGATAATGCTTGCTATAACAGAAATTCACTAACAGAGTAAAACATAATGCATATGTTCATAGCACATCATCATGAAGGTAACTGAAAAAAAGCTTCAAAATACAACATCTCTTCTCAAAGGTACTACATCGCTTAATTTTTTTTTTTCCTGAAAAAATACTTTCACTCTTTACTCAATAAAATATGAGGCTTCATGAAGGCCTCTCTTCCTTCTTTTATAACCCCATGTATTTTCTTGTCAAGGACCATGTGTGCTGAAGGCCAATGGGCTGATGGTGCTGGAAAACAGACACCACTCACTCCCTGGCTAGCAACTTTTACAGGCTCTCTTTCTCCTGATCTGGAAGCTCAGCTGGGACGAAAGCGGCTTATACACCACCAAAAGGCAATTTTCATACCATGCCCATCCTAAATGCTTCCTGTGAAGGGTTCCAAGTCCCAACCATCCCTTTGGAGTCATTTTACAGTGCAAGTTGTCACCACCCCATGCTGGTTAGCCCTGTCAGCGTCAAGCTGGGACTGTCTGGATGACAGCCAAAAAAGTTCCTCTCCTCGATGTGGATACAGAATTCCCAGCAGCAAAAATACTGCCACACATGTAAAAAAAAGAGTTTGGAAATAAACTTCTGAGTTTAAAAGGATATTCATCAACTTACCAGGGCTGAATCCACTAATCACTGACATTTTTGCTACACCACCAAAACTCTCTGGAAGAAAGAATTGAGAAATCTCTGGAAAAAGGTGGTAATATTTCCACTGCATTGTAGTATAAAATTAATAACTAGGAGAAGGACATTGATCATTAAGGATTAATGTTTGTTCACAGGCAGTTTGTTTAAAGGAATGCCTCTGAAATGGAAGCTGTTTGCCTTGCTTAATTACCAGGTCATTATTTATATTTAAAGGCTCAAATAAAAATGGCTTGATTACAAAGGCAACTACACTTAGCTGGGCATTTTTCTTTTTTCACCACTGAATTACCATGTATTGAAACAAATATTTCACAGAAAAGTGTCAGGTGATATGAATATTAACACAAAGAAATGCATGATCAAAAGGAACACACGTGAGTGCACGCTTACACACACTCTGAGGAAGATCCTTATCTGCTCTGCATAGTCTTGTCATCCAGACAAAACTATTTAATTGTCCAAACCAGAAGAGCTGCAGGAAATTGAAGACTTAGAACAGGGCACCAGGTTCATGGTCAGTGCATCCTCTCAGACGCAAGGAGGCTGCACTCCAGCTCCTGTTCCCAGCTATCCTCTCTTGCTGGGCATGTTCTGCTTTGCCTAAGTACCTACAGAAACCATGAACTGAGGACAGCGAGACCTCATGCGTGCAAAGCTGCTGTCGCTCCTTGGTCAGGCTGCAAACTGGGACGGGCAGATCCTAGTTCTGGGTCAGGCATGTCAGGGGCTTAAAGCTGATCGCTCTCCTGTAGTTCAAGAAAGTGCCCTGAACATTGAGCAAACTCCCTGCAAGGTCTCCCTTTCTGACCAAAAGGTCTGTCTTGGGCCTTGGAGCATCTCCCGACCAAAGTTTCAGAATGTAAAGGTTTCTGCAAGAAATGATGATTTTGCTGCACGCACATTTTTCCAAAGCAAAAATATTTTTTGAGAAAAGCCGTGATACAGGATTTAGATGTGAATTTTGACCAGCCAAGGTCTGTTAACAGTAGTAGGCACGAGCGTGGCTGCATGCAGCAACTGCCAGAAGCGCTGTTTATAGCTTCATATCTCCTTCTCCCCTCTCTCTCTCAAAATGCTAACAGCCTCCCAAAACCAGACACACTTTTTCATTTTGCATGAGCTATCATGAACGTTTAAGTACTGAGACACACAGAAGAATAACTTGCTGCATTGTATGTGTAACATATCAACATTTCTCCTTCAATATTTCACTTTACCCTCTATTAAAGTACTGTATCACGACAGACGACATTTCACCAAGCAGACTCACAGCTCACACCCTAGGCCTTGAAGCTGAGCGGGACATTTGATTGCAACCTTAAAAATGCAGGGACAGTTAAATTTTTAATTTATTAAGTCCCATGACAGAGTAACAACTGAGTAAGTATTTCATTATTGGCTAACCACGTATCGTAATTTCCAGTGAACGAAAAAAACCCTGTACGTTAGAAGGGAGACATTTGAAAAAGACATATAAAGCAGCCTCTTCCACTCTTCCTTTGAACAGCATCTATTTCATTAATAATCCAAGTGAAATAAATGGGATATTATTCTAGAAGGAGCTCCTATCAAACATGAAAAAGTCCTCCATTGCCCTAAAAATGCAGTGTGTACACTTCTTTGTAACCATTGAAAAGCTTTCCTTAAAAAATTATCCATAAAATAAAAAACTAAACACATCCTATGATTATTTCCTGTCGAATAGTAGGGGCTTATTAACCAAATGGCAATGTAAGAACTAAAAAGCAAACAGTGAGCACTTAACCTCATTAAAATCTCAGGAATGACTCAGTGTTATGAACATATGAAGTAAATGATGATCACTTCCGAACAGTACCACTATTAGCAAGAGGGCAGTGACTGTTTTGCAGCTTCCTGGAAAAGTTTACAGTTCTCACATTTTGTCACTGACCGGGAATGACTGTCTGACCCCAGCTATGCAACAGTCACACAAAAGAAGTCCCAAATCCAGAGAAATGGTTGTTTCTTGTTGACATAGTGATGTTTAGTTGAATCGTTACAAATAGTTGAATGCGTTACAAAACCAGATTTTCAGTCACAATTCTGCAAAGGCTTATTTTTACCTTCAGACTTCTGGATCCGTGCCCTACATCCATATCCCTTTCAGCAAAAGTAGGCTGTTTCCTCATCCCTTTAAACATTCCCATTGATGTCTGTCTTATCTCTCAACAAAACTTTTTGGCTGCTCTGATGTCCTCTGATATTCCAGCGCTGTCATTCCACAATACACCCTGAAGGGAGGCTACCCAGCTACTTCAAACCTGCTTCTCCTTCCTCTCAGCCCCAGGGCCATCCCATAGCTACAGGGAGAAAGCATCACACCAACAACAGTATAAAACTGTTGCACCATTTCTGCAAGGCAAACATGTACACTTAAATTAGGTCAGTGAACAACAGGATACAAAACACGTGCAGTGTCACATTTAAGATGGATAACAGGTAGGCGACATTCCCTTGCAGTAAAGCCCTCATCATATTCATGGTGGAGCAGGGCTGACATCATTACATCTCAGGTCGCCCAACCTAAGAGTACTGGCCCAAGAAACAAAGGAACATGAGTTAGCCAGCTTCCACTGCAAGAACTGAGTCTGAAGTCAACAACCACTGCATCCGTGGAAAAATCACCATGGGATTCAGTTGGCCCTGGATCAGATCCAGGTTAAAAATCAATCTTTGCTTCTTCATTTAGAAAATAGATGGGCATTAGCAGCTTCATCCTATGAGTAGCATCTCCAGCGAGGTGCAAAGGAACCTTAATGAAAGCCTGTTGTAGAAGCCAATTATTTCCATCACACGTTTTATAACCTCATATATAGCACTTCTACAATCTTTCTTCTTTTGGAAATACAGTTCTTGTACATATCCTTAAAACAAACCAGCAGCTATTAAGACAGCAAAGCAGACTAATACAAATGTACATAGAACAGCTCTTATAAAAATGCCCCAAATGCATTTTTAACCTCTTGTTAGAAATACACTCTTGGTTAAAAAAATATTAAAAAAAAGAAAAAAAGAAAAAAAAACGCTAGTCATCTCAAACATGCTATAAGTATGCAGAGACACCGGCACTTGCAAGCAAGTGATCAAACACTGGTGATAGGAAACAGATATAGCTCAAAAACCAGATTTTTTCTTTTGTAATTTCCAAAATAATTAATTTTTAGTATTTTTTAGTCTTCTCTCATATGATTTGAACTTATAAAATACAAGTTCTCTAACATTAAAATACATCCATGATTGCATAATAAACAGTACTAAGAAAATAATTATCTGACATGTGATTGCGGATAAAGACTGTACGTCTAGTGAGTTTATTCCTGGAGTACATTAAACCCACAGGTACTCTACCATGACACAATCCTACAGGAATCAGTAACATACAGAAGCCCATCTCAGAGGATGGGTTTTAAATTTAAGCAAGAATTCAGGAATGCTGTACCTCTCAATGATCAGGGCAGGAGGTGCTGCCAGAACGAGTACAAATCAGAAATTCTTTACATAAATAAAATACTCTCAGCTTATTCATTTCAGTGATAAACTGCATTTACACGTTAGGCTGGGAAGAGGGAGGAAAAGAAGGCGAAGCATCCCCCCGCTCAGAAATACCCAGCAGTCAAGACATTTGTTTCCTGTACCTTCTTCACCTGCAAAGGCAAACGTGCACAGTGGGGTGAAGGGAGACCCGACAAGCCGGTCCACCCCACAGCCACCACCTTGGCAGAAACCCTGCTCAGCCACGGTGCACTCCTCTCCTTGCAAGGCTGTCCAGACACGTGCTCCGCTCTTGCCGACGCACGGCTGTGCGGGAAGTCACAAGACGGTGACGGGACGTAGCTGCTCCAGCTGCGTTTCCAAGGCAATTCGTTCCTTGTGAACCTCCTGCAGGAGGGAGAGATGTGCTGTAACTTTTGGGATGCTCACATGTACCACCCCGCTTCAGTGAAGAGCAGCCAGGCAAACCACTGGCATTGACTGGAGGCTTGGGGCTCTGCTGTTTAAGTAACTCTCCTTGTGATCTCAAGACACCGTACAAATGCCACACAACCACCTCGCACAGCTGCCTACTGCCTCTTCCTTACAGTGTGGCAATATGGAGGCTCAATCACTTGTTCAGGTGATCATGGAGACGAGCAGACATCCACTGGCCAGTGGAATAGCTTGGGATACAGCGAAGCTGGCCCAAACTGGCCATTTTCACCAAAGAAAATCAGGTTATTTTGAAATCACATTTCCCTCTAAACAGCTTTTTGAGAATTTCTGGTTCATGCAAACAACGTCTTTCCTTGCGGAAATGAGTAAGACTTAGCCTTTCTAAGATGACACAGGCTTTGCAATCAGTCTTGATCAGAAGTTAACCGTGAAGGCTTGGGGGATCACTGACTTTGCAAAAGTCTCTCCTGCTCTCGAAGCTTCCGCTGTGTTGAGGGGCACCCTGCTCTCACTGACCTCCCACCAAAGGGCTCCCTGACCAGTGTAGGAGCCAGGCTGACCTATGACTCCTCCAGATACCCCATTTGGGCAGGCTCAGAACCCCAGCACGGGAGTGCACTTGAACCCTCCCTGTGCCTCAGGGTAAGCTGTGCCTCAGGGGTACCCATCAAGTCTTCTAGTCTCCATAAAAACAGCAAAGCCCTGCTCCATCAGAAAGCTTCCAGGCAGCAATATGACTTGAAGGACAAGTTCAGTTTTCTGCTCTTGTGTGAACTTAGGCAAATCTGTCTTTCCATGTTTCTTCCACTCTGCTATAGAATACAGGTAACAGCATTGGACTGCTCTGTAAGGTTGGGGAGTTTAAGCATGCTGAAAATAGTGCACAGAAGCAAATAAGACCTGAGCCAAGGAACGATGGCAATGTGCTGTCATTAAAAGCTTTCATCTCCATGCTTATTTCAATTGCTGTCCTATATTTTGCTATGATTTCAGTACAGAGCATCGACCCTGCATCTCTCCTGGGAGACCCTTGAAAAGCAGTTAAGATACTACGTTAAGCAGAGTTGAATATGCAATCAAACTTTCACCTTGACTGATGAAAAAGCGCAACTGGAGGTTCACCTCCCTTTCCAGACAAGCGTGTTCATAACATGCAAGGAAGAAAAAGCTGTAGCAGATGAAAAACTAAAGTCTGTACTATCTTTGGATTACAAAAACAGAAAAACACGAATTGATATTTATAAGAAAACAGCCCCTTGAGAACATGTTAAAAGGCAAGTCACGCAAAGTATGGTTTAGCCAGTCCATGTATATCAAATGCCTGACTCCAAGAGACAGTTATGTAGCACAGCTGATCAGAAGACAAGAACGCTACGCTTGAGTTGCTCTTCTGCGCTAAGTGACACCATCACATTATCAAACTTTTCAGAAAGACACAGTTCACTCTTTTGACTTACTCTAACTGCCAGTGGAGCTGTAGGCCCATAGGTTCTAACTTTTCCCAGAAAGCCTCATCCTACCCACTACAGTTATTCCCTTCCAGAAAGGGGGAAGCAATGCAACAGGTCTCATCTGAGAGGATGAGCAAGATTCTCTGCGGGAGGCGACACGTAACTGATTGCAGGGAGCTTCGTCACAGATTTTCAATGCATTCCTTACCTTCAGCTGCTGCTGGAGCTCACTGTTCAACCTGGCGAGCACAGCATTGGCTTCTTTGTTTTTTCGTATAGCAGTCTGAATAGCCCTTTTCTGCTTGGAAGACTGTCTGCCAGACAGGTAAATACAGAACATTTCAATTAAAAGCCTCAACAGTGGCTGATGCCAGAAGGCCAGCCATCCATTTTGCGCATCTGTACTCTATACACTCTGGACTACACTTCAAAGAGAAGGTACGATCTACAGATTTAAGAGAAGAAAAACGTAACACTGAAATGAGACGGCTGAATCAGGCTATTTGAAAGTAAAACGGTCATACTTGTTAACCTGAATGACGGAAACATTCTAGGCTGTCTCAATTATTTCAAAATCATTGCATTCTAGTTCAGCTTAAGAATAATCCCTGCATAGCTGTGCTTATTGCAGCATCTTTGCATTAGCTGTTTGCTGATACTTGCAGAGTTTAAAGATTCAGGAGTGGTTAATAGAAAATACAAAAATCATTCTATGTGGAAAGAATGCATGAAAATACTGTCTCAGATTTTGGGGGGCCACTGCTGATTCTGATGTTTCTTTACTTCAGAAATTAATCTTTCTTCATTCAAAGCAGTCATTTCCACCAAAACCATCTGATGTCACAAACAGGAACAGGTAGATGGCTTATGGACTTTCCTCATCTTTTTTGCTGCTTAAATAAAAGATTTCTCTCCTATTATTATTATTGCTTTATAGCCCACGGTAACTGATCTGGAGGAAATTAGTTAGGCAGACAGGTACAAAAAGAGACAGCTCTGTACATAAGGACCAACCTATTCTGAGAAACAGAGGTAACAACAGGAACAAGGAAAGAAAATACAGAAAATACTGGCTGAATATCCAAGCCCTTTTCCAAACTGTAAAGTCTTACATGAGGCATCAGGAGCTCTTTAATGACAAATTTGATCTACAACAGGTAGATTAAATTAAACCTTATTTAAATAAGGTCCATAGTGGTACACAGTCCCCATTAGCTCTTTTCTCTTAACAGAGCTGATGGCACTGATCTTTGCAACAGCATCTGTTCCGCAGCACAGACAGGTCTTTATGCTGTTATCTTCCAGTGACCTGTCAGTTTTCTGCTCCACTGTTTTGCTTCGAACTACTCTCCATAGGCTATAAAGTAATAATGATAGGGGAAAAAAAGAAACAGGGTGATATATACCTCCATGGTCATTTAAACATTTGAGGAAAGATGTAGACAAGACAGGATTAAGTTGAGATGCTAATAAATGCTGTTATCTTTCTTTGAATCACTATGGAATATGCACTCCCAAAGAATAAAATAGCACTTTTTAAGGGCATCCTAGGCGTCTTATTACTTATTCTAATCTCCAATTATGCAGCACAGATTCAGTCTACTGATAAACAGTTTGCCAAGAACCACTCAACTGATTTGGGCAGCTTGGTTTTGTTTCAGACTGAATCAGATGTCTTTGCAAGGCTTTGGGTGAAGGTGAGCTATAATTTTTGCACACTGTTCCAGCTGAGGGAGATGTATAGATCCAATAGGGCTTCAGGCGCCTTTGCTTACCATTTGTACAGCCCCTTCTCCACTGCTATTAAATAAACATATAGTGAAATCTGTACAAGACTTTGCTGCTGACAGCTTCGACAGCTATATTTATGATAGCAAACAACACATGCTGGGTTTGGCAATTATTGGATTATCACAAGTGGTCTATGGCTCAGCTCTTACCAGTGGCGAGCTCATTTCCAACCTGCCTTGCGATGAAGAAATATCACAACGATATGACCAACATCAAGCATTCCATGACTTGGTTTCCTGAATATTTATCTGGTTGTATCTGTCCACATGAATGAGCAAAATTCCAGAAGGTATGTGCAAGGCAAAACCACACACCCACAAAGCTAAAATGGGTTGTGTTAGAGATGCTGGTTGAACACCTAGGCTTGCTCTTCAGACATGTGTACCAGATACAGAGGTAGGATACCTCTGAAGAGGCTATCAATCAAATATTACCAACTTACACAGTCACTACAGACCCAGTCTGCATTTGAGAAGACAGATGTAGATTTCAGAGACCTGCATCTTGTTAAGCATTCTCAAAACCAGAACTATTAAGCACAAATTTATGCAAAGAGCAAACCCTGCCACATCAGATCTCATGGTACAGTTTGGCGTGCTTGGTACAGGTTTTTACTTTTGGACTGGGAGGTGAGACTTGACTGCTGGCATGGAAGAAGCCACATTTATAGTGGGAGAAAGCTCGGGGGTCTCCAGCCCCTGTGCCTCTGTCCGGAGCTTCCTGCGGCTGGGTTTGGAGGGCGGCTGAACGAGAACAACCTCCTGCAAGGGAGAAGCACAGCAATGTTAAGTCAGGCCGCACGCATCCCGTCATTAGGCCGGGGAATACTTGTGACACAGAAATTGCTTACAGCTGGCATAAGATTTCATAATTTGCAGAGGTACAGACTTAATTCAAATCTGGTAATAGCCTCTCAGGTTTCTGACTTTGAAAGAAAGGAACTGTAACTCCTGCAATCCCTTAATGAATGAAGTGATCATACTTTTGTTTTGTCTTCATCTAGATGGCAGGCTCTTCAGAACTGAGTTGTACAGTTCTGGGGCACATTTTGGGGGGGG